GAGGGGAAAAATAAAAGACAATTAGGCTAGCCGGTAAAAATCCGGCGCAACCTGAGCGATAGTCAAGAGTCGAGGCTTTAGACAGACACACACAGGGAGAGAGAAGACACACAGAGAGAGAGAAGACACACAGGGAGATAGAAGACACACAGGGAGAGAGGAGACACAGGGAGAGAGAGACACACAGGGAGAGAAGAGACACACAAGGAGAGAGAAGGCACACAGGGAGAGAGGAGACACACAGAGAGAGGAGACACACAGGGAGAGAGACAGGGAGAGAGAAGACACACAGGGAGAGAGAAGACACACAGGGAGAGAGGAGACACACAGGGAGAGAGGAGACACAGGGAGAGAGGAGACACAGGGAGAGAGGAGACACAGGGAGAGAGAAGACACACAGAGAGAGGAGACACACAGGGAGAGAGGAGACACACAGGGAGAGAGAAGACACAGGGAGAGAGATACACACAGGGAGAGAAGAGACACAGAGAGAGAGAAGAGACACACAGGGAGAGAGGAGACACACAGGGAGAGAGGAGACACACAAGGAGAGAGAAGGCACACAGGGAGAGAGGAGACACAGGGAGAGAGACAGGGAGAGAGAAGACACAGGGAGAGAGAAGACACACAGGGAGAGAGGAGACACAGGGAGAGAGGAGACACACAGGGAGAGAGGAGACACAGGGAGAGAGGAGACACACAGGGAGAGAGGAGACACACAGGGAGGAGACACACAGGGAGAGAGACAGGGAGAGAGGAGACACACAGGGAGAGAGGAGACACACAGGGAGAGAGGAGACACACAGGGAGAGAGGAGACACACAGGGAGACAGGGAGAGAGGAGACACAGGGAGAGAGAAGACACACAGGGAGAGAGGAGACACACAGGGAGAGAGACAGGGAGAGAGGAGACACAGGGAGAGAGAAGACACACAGGGAGAGAGGAGACACACAGGGAGAGAGAAGACACACAGGGAGAGAGAAGACACAGGGAGAGAGGAGACACACAGGGAGGGAGGAGACAGGGAGAGAGGAGACAGGGAGAGAGGAGACACACAGGGAGAGAGGAGACACACAGGGAGAGAGAAGACACACAGGGAGAGAGGAGACACACGGAGAGAGGAGACACACAGGGAGAGAGGAGACACACAGGGAGAGAGGAGACACAGGGAGAGAGGAGACACACAGGGAGAGAGGAGACACACAGGGAGAGAGGAGACACACAGGGAGAGAGGAGACACACAGGGAGAGAGGAGACACACAGGGAGAGAGGAGACACACAGGGAGAGAGGAGACACAGGGAGAGAGGAGACACACAGGGAGAGAGAGAAGACACAGGGAGAGAGAGAAGACACACAGGGAGAGAGGAGACACACAGGGAGAGAGAAGACATACAGGGAGAGAGGAGACACACAGGGAGAGAGACAGGGAGAGAGAAGACACACAGGGAGAGAGAAGACACAGGGAGAGAGGAGACACAGGGAGAGAGGAGACACAGGGAGAGAGGAGACACAGGGAGAGAGAAGACACACAGGGAGAGAGGAGACACAGGGAGAGAGGAGACACACAGGGAGAGAGAGAAGACGCAGGGAGAGAGGAGACACACAGGGAGAGAGGAGACACACAGGGAGAGAGGAGACACAGGGAGAAAGAGAAGACACACAGGGAGAGAGGAGACACAGGGAGAGAGGAGACACACAGGGAGAGAGGAGACACAGGGAGAGAGAAGACACACAGGGAGAGAGGAGACACACAGGGAAAGAGACACACAGGGAGAGAGGAGACACACAGGGAGAGAGAGAAGACACAGGGAGAGAGGAGACACACAGGGAGAGAGGAGACACACAGGGAGAGAGGAGACACAGGGAGAAAGAGAAGACACACAGGGAGAGAGGAGACACAGGGAGAGAGGAGACACACAGGGAGAGAGGAGACACAGGGAGAGAGAAGACACACAGGGAGAGAGGAGACACACAGGGAAAGAGACACACAGGGAGAGAGAAGACACAGGGAGAGAGGAGACACACAGGGAGAGAGGAGACACACAGGGAGAGAGAAGACATCCGCTAAGCAAGAGAGCGGAATCATCCGAATAATTATCTTTGCGGGGAAGACAGAGAGAGCGCTAGAGAGAGGAGATAAAAAAAAAATCACGTGCATCGTTAACATACACGGTAGAATTTGCTCGAGCAAGCAAAACAAATGTTTTTTTTTAAACAAACATAATAACCAACAACATCGACAACAAAAACACGAACGCATAAAAAATAGAGAGGAGGACGGAGATTCGACACGCCCCGTGCTTAAATGAACGCCAGCGCCATTGCTGCTGGCGTCCCCTTACCACCACCACTGTACGTCTAATACAGTGGTGCAGTCATTTGCATATATGGGCTCTTGTTTTGCATACGAGATGTGTGTCGTGCCAATTGTGCTGCCGCTACTGCTGCTGCTGCTCGGGAGGGTTCCACGTCACGCACGCGCGCACGCACGCACGCGCGCGCTCCTCGCCACGGAACGATTTGCGCCACCGCTACAGCTTCTCAGCGCCCAATCCAAATGCCCTCTCTCTCCTCGCACCGCTTTGCCAGCCGGCCGGCCGGCCAGCCTTATTTCGGCACGCAGAACAACAACGAGAACGATGAAGTTGCGCGTGTTGCGCGTGTGTACCAGGTTCGGCTGATGCCATGTTGTTTTGTACGGGTTGAGTAATTAACATTGGTGGATGGACCCGTAGCAAAGAGGGAGGTTGGGGGGGGAGCGGTGGTGTAGAGGTTAGCGCACTACGCGACGAACCCGGCGACCCGAGTTCGATTCTCGCTCACGATTCAATAACAGTACTCGGTGCGGTATGTAAACATCATCAATATAGGGAGACAAAGGCGGTCGGGCGTGATACTGACCACCCACCTCCCGCGGGTTCCGTGCCGGCCCCTAAATGGTGCTCGCTAACAGCACTTGCCCCAACAGTCTGTTAAGGCTATACCGGGGGGGGGAGAGGGAGTCTTTGTGGGCACGTGTATACGTGCAGCGGTACACTACGCTGCCGTGCGCGCTGCCGTACAGACACATTAATTGCCACTCAGCACACGCGCGTTCAAAGTGCAGATATCACTCGCACAGAGAGTGCGTGTGCACTCCCAACACATGTGCGTGCGTAATTTTACGAACATGCGTACTAGCACGCGTATGCATTGCGACCATGTGTTCCGATGCACAGCAGCAGCAAGTAGGGCATTGCTGCACGCGTAACGCCACGCCTCCCCACGTAACGCGAACGGCATCTGGCGCAACGATGAACACGCGGCGCGGCAAATCATCGTGCGCCATTCTCTATCCACTGCTAGATGAAGGCCTCCCCACGCAATCCACACGCCCCCTCATAGTCCAGTTGCACGACGACCGCCGCTACTCATCTCACTCACGCTGCACCAAAACCTCATCGCTTCATCTCCGCGGCAGCCGTTCTCTCGGATGCATTTACAATCACTCCTTTTGGCTGCCATTCCGTGACCAGTCTCCAATTAAAAAAAACTAATTGGAGACTGGTCACGGAATGGGTCAGATTTTCCACACATTGCGTTTGTTGTATCCGTGACCAGCAGCGAGTATCGCAAAGGTTATAATGAACCCTTCTGAGCGAGGCATAGCATTTCCCTGGCCCCCATGCCCGCATCCCCTACAGATCCATCTTCGCAGCAAAGTGCGCACAATGTACATGTCATTAGCACGTGCGCCTACTGTATAGCCCCCGCATGTGCGCGGAGCTCAGTTCGCATTCGGCGAAGCGTTTCTCGTGCACCGCAGATGAACACTCTACTCATAGACCTGTGCGCGACCACACCAACACACACCTCTTCTCATACCAAAGACAAAGATCCCCCGTATAGCCGTAACAGCACGTTACGACGAGTGCTGTTAGCGAGCGGCACCTATGAAGGCCGGCATGGCACACGAGGAAGGATACGTGGCCATCGCCACTGCCAGGCTGAGCCGACCTAGGAGAGTCCCAATACCGAATAAAGCATTCGTCCCCGTTCTTGGTCGTGAGCGCGAACCGAACTCGAGTCGCTGCCGGTTTTTTCTGCAGCGCGGTGCGCTCAACGCTGCACCACCGCTGCCCCATACAATGCAACGCAACACATGCCTCAAGCAAGCGCGTGTGCGCGCACAGCCTAACGCACGCACGCGCGCGCGCACGCCGGGTGTAGCCACCCCGAGCTGCCCCGACACCCGCGCAAGGCGCGCGCGGTGCGCTCCACCTCGCCGCCGCGAGCCAACCTCGACTCGAGGCCCCCGCCGGACTCGGCCGCGCTTCTTCCCCCGTGCCACCAGCGCGGGACGACACCGCGCGCCTCGGTACACAGCGGTAGGCGCTGTGCGTCACATTGTTGTTATCGGTGATGCTGCTGCTGTTGTTGTTGTTGGCTGTTAGCGGTGGTTGTGATCGTAGCGTGATAGTGGTGGTGTGATAGCGGTTACAATCGTGGTGGTGTGAGAGTGGTAGTGGTGGTGGTGCGATAGTGGTGGCTGTGGTTGTGACAGTGATGGTGATGCTATCGTGGTGGTTTGAGTGGTGGTGGTGCGATAGTGGTGGCTGTGGTTGTGACAGTGATGGTGGTGGTGATGTTATTGTGGTGGTTTTAGAGTGGTGGTGATGCGATAGTGGTGGCTGTGGTTGTGACAGTGATGGTGGTGATGTTATCGTGGTGGTGTTAGAGTGGTGGTGGTGATGTCATCGTGGTGGTGTGAGAGTGGTGGTGGTGGTGCGATAGTGGTGGCTGTGGTTGTGACAGTGGTCGTGGTGGTGGTGATGTTATCGTGGTGGTGTGAGAGTGGTGGTGGTGCGATAGTGGTGGCTGTGGTTGTGACAGTGGTCGTGGTGGTGATGTTATCGTGGTGGTGTGAGAGTGGTGGTGGTGGTGCGATAGTGGTGGCTGTGGTTGCGACAGTGGTGGTTTAGCTATCGCTGCCCGTGGCTGAGAAAACAGCATACGTACACTTCACGTGACGTAAGGAGGTCGAGTGAGGCGGCTGCGAGGGTGGAATTCTTGCGCTCGGAAGATCTTGATGCTTTTTCAACAAGAGACGGAAAAATAAATTCACGACAGCTCTCATCGTCCGCCAAGCCAGCCAGTTGAGCATTCGCTAGCGTTCAACAGACTCCCAAGTCAGTATCTCTCTCTCTCTGCGTCTCCATGTGTATGTATATATATACACACACACGACAAACAAACTAAAGTCTTTAAAACAAACTATTACAATTTAGCTTTTTTTCCCCCCTCTACAACAAAATCATTCGTCGGTCAATCGACGTTGTGCGCCTCGCTCGCTGTCGATGCACGCACAGCAGCGGGCAGCGGCGAACAGCAGCAGCAGCAGCAGCTCTTGCAATAGCATCGCGTCGTCTCGTGTAGATCTGGTGGAGGCACCCGCGTTGCGCAGAGTTCAGGTGAGCATTGAACTTGACACCTAGACGCTGTGTCTGCCATTGACTCAGCGGCCCGCCAGTGGCTTTGGGGTGCCGGGTTCGTCTGGTTCCCTCGTTTAATGAGATGCAGCTCGTATTGTTTGTTCTTAAGCTTCATCCTCTGCTAACTATATAAGCAAGGTCCATGCGTTTCACTCCCACACCCCACCGCCCCCCCCCCCCACAACTTGCACCCCCCCCCCCCGCATCACCATCTCCACATCTCTCTTTAAAAAAAAAACTTCTATTATTTTGTGTTCTCTCTCACTCTCTCTCCCTTCACCATCACGACCACCACCCCCATACTCCACTCTCTACTTGCAGCCTTCAACTTTAGCCATCCCTCCATAGCCCCCACCCTCACCCAGACCCCCCCCACCCACCCCAAGTGGGTGCTCCATGCACCCATTGTGCGAGCTTGTCTGGGATAGGATTCCCGGCGGGCCACTAAAATAAAGTTTTCAAGGTTAGAGCCGCGCGTCTGAAAAGCGCCTCATTAGAATTCCGCCATGCAAATAAGGATGGCCCGGGCGTGAGAACCGACGGGGAATAATGCCGGCTTCCCCGATGGCTCGAGTCAGCACCCCCCACCACCACCATCATCATAGCCCGGCGGGACGTGTCATTGCCATAGTAGCCAGGGCTGGCTGGTCAGTAATACGGCTAGCCCCATCTGTATGGCTCCTGCCGACAGGCGTGATGGGGGGAGGGTCGCCCAGACTTTTTTGGGCCGTTGCCTCTGTAAATATATCAATCGGCTCTTGTTATGCTGCCTGCCCGCTTTATATTCGAGGCGACTGACTGTATGCATGCAATGCTAGCCGACCCGGCTATGTGTGTGCGTGTGTGTACGAATGAGTGTTACAGGGTCCTCGTGTGTGTGTGTGGACGTGCCGGCCTTCATAGGTGCTCGCTAACAGCACTTGCACCAACAGTCTGTTAAAGGCTATACGGGGTATCTTTGTCTTTGTATGTATCGTCGGTTACGTGTAAGTACAATTTGAGTTTTATTGTGTTTAAGCATATATAAGAAAACAATCTACATATTTATCAATGATACTGCCCTGCAAGGAGGGGGGGGGGAGATATATAAAGTGACGTTTCGGGGAATGACCCTTTTTCAAAGCACATATTATTGTTGGTGCACTCTAAGTCCGTGTAATTATGGTGTTAAGTTTACCCGCTCTAGCGAGTGACACTGTAATGTGTGATAGTTAGCTGTCTCAAGGATTACATGCGATACATGTGCGCGTAAAATGCATTTTTATTCTAAACTCATAATACACACGTACGTACATAACGTAGCACTACAAACACGCACACGCAAATCCATATATGCATAGACACTGCATACATGCATACACTCTTCCATACGTGCATAGTATACATACGTACAACCCACATGTATATCGTAACATATATACACGTACAAAGACATGAACAAACTTACACATGTGCATACGTATCACATACACGCATCCACACAGACACAAGATTATTGTACGTCCATACGCATACATATACGTACATGTATACTCATACACGCGGTCATACATATACAGTATAAAGATCCCCCTGTAGCCCACATGGGCTCTTGAGACAAGTGCTGTTAGCCAGTACCTGTTAAGGGCATGCACAGCATGCATACACAAATCAAAGATAAATATCCCCCGTGTAGCCTTTAACAGACTGTTGGGGCAAGTGCTGTTAGCGAGTAGCACCAATGAAGGCCGGCACGGCACACGAGGGGGTGGGTGGCCAGCACCACCCCCGACCGCCTTTGTCTCCTCAGCGGCGATGTTTACTACACACCGCACCAGGTACTCATTTGAGGCTGAGTCGACCTAGCGGAGGAAGCCCAAGACCGGCTCAAGTAATCATGCACACATAGACCAATGACGCTCTATTGGCAGGCAGTCTCAACCACACACATACACTCATTTGCCCCCACCACCAACAACCTCCACCCAACTCCCCCAACCAACCCCATTACACCACCACATTGCCTTTTGAACATCACACCCCATCCTAACAACACTCTAGAAGAGAGGAGAGAGAAAAAACCCGAACCCACCCAACCACAAAACGCGCGTGCTGTTATTTGGTTTGCTAAACACGTCCGTGGCTGGCTCCGTGAACAATATGCGTGGCGCTCGGGAGTGGTCATACGGGAGGGGACAACGAGGGGACCCTTTCAGCGCCATTCGTGCAGACGTAATGATGCACGGGGAAGGAGACTCTCTCACTGCGTGTGTGTGCGTGTAGACGAACGCCCGGACTGCTGGCTCGGGCTTACGGCACGCAGGCACGGCCACAGGCAAAGGCACTTGAGGATATGTTGAGACGGCAAGAGAGAGACAGACACAGACAGACAGATAGAGACGCTTCCTCGGCAACGGCGACGTGGATGGCGATCGAGGTTTCAGGGCGAGCCGCTCGCTCGGGCTGTCTCTCGTGCGCGCTCAACAACTCGAATGGTCATCAAGACGAATCACCACTGACGATGTTGCTCCTAGGTGGCGGTGGTGGTGGTGATGGTAAGAGGAATTCATTCCTCACTTGTTATTGGCAAGAACGCTCGCTGCCTTATAGGCTGCGTTGGAATCGGAATTCTCGGCGTAAGGCACTACCACTAGAATACAAGGTAACGCCTCTCTTTAATAATCCTATTGCGTATATTCCTATAGTCAGTTTTTGGACAAATTAATGCGATATAGAAATGGTTGGGTGCCGTCTTAATTCAATCGCTGGCTGACAGAGATCGAGATGGTGACGATGGCTGTTTGTGATGGAGGTGATACGTATTTGTATATGCGGGTTATATTTAAAAAGGCTGTGTGCGTTCAAAGGAATCTCTTCTGACCTTATTTTGGCCGACGGCGGTTCTTGTTCGTGAAGGATATTCCACTTTGTTAAAAGGGTGCGTGTGAAATATCGCAAAAACAATTAGAACCGAGCTCCTTAATTTACGAGGCGAGCTGCTTTGAATGTGTGTCAGTGCAAGTGTCTGTGCGTGAGACTGTAATTGTGTGACTGTGTAATTCATGGGTGCTACTCGCTAACAGCACTTGCCCCAACGGTTTGTTCAAAGGCTATACGGGGGATCTTTGTCATTGTATGTGCATCTATATATGGGTGTGCCTGCGCGCGCGTCTGTATGTGCGTGTGTCTTTATATCCGTACGAATGTGCCTCTGTGTGTCTGTGCAATTATGTACGTTTGTGTGTGTCTCTGTATCTGTGTGTATGTGTGTGTGAGAGAGTCTTTGTGTGTGATCGAGAGAGAGAGAGACGAAACTCAATTATCATAACACTGCTTAATGTATTGATAGTAACGTCTCACGCAACGGTGGCAGCCCTCGGTAACAATGAGCTCTTAAACAAATCAGCTGCACTTACCCGCCACGCAGTGCCGCGAAAAACCCCAAACCCTAGACACAGCGCGCGTAGACAACGCATTTTACACGGCAGCCTACGAGACTACGTACGCCCGGTGAGCGTATGAGTGCGTACATAGTCGCATCTCTGCTTTGCCCCGTTTGCTGATGAGAGAGAGAGTGGAGGAAGAGAGCGAGAGGCAGCGAGCGAACGAGAGAGAGGGAGAGAGAGGGAGCGCGCCAAAACTGTTCTGCCGTGGCTAATTATTTTACAAGACAGAACGTTTCTGCTGTTTGCCAGTCGTTCGCACGGCCCACAGACCAGTGTACGAATAGGGGGGGGGTGTGGTGTGTGTGGGGGGCGCTTTCTGCACGTTGTGTGCATTCATTCATTCATTGGCCGCTCATTATTATGGAAATGGGTGTCTGGGGCTTGATTTGAACTTGATTTTGGCACCGGACCCTTCCAGTGATGGTGGGGGGTGGGATTGAGAGACGGGGGAGAGGGGGTCAGTGGTGGTGGGGGGAGGTCAGTGGTGGGGGGGAGGGGCAGCTTCTGTCCCCTCCCCCTATCCCTCCCCTCCCCCGGCTGTCCCCTCCCTGGCCGCCCCCACCGCCACCACCACGCACGCGTGCGTGGTGGTGGTGGTGTCCCAGGGACCTTAACAGCAGACGCTTTTTGATTAAGGGAGCATTTGGGGTTGTAGAGAGAGAGAGGAGGAGTGGTGGTGGTGGTGGAGCGGGCGGTGTGGGAGGGGGGTGAAAGGGAGAAGGGAGGGGTGGGGGGGTTGAAATGGGGGTGGCTGCTGGCGAGGAGAGTGGAGCGAGAGCGGGTGGGGTGGTGGCTGGGTGGTGGTGGTGGTTGGCGGTGATGTGGTGGTGGCGGTGGGAGGAGGTGGTTGGAATGGGGGGGTGGTGGGTGTTAGAGGGGGAGGGGCAGCGATTGTGGGTGTGTGTAAGAGAGAGGGGGGGGGGTGCCGTGTGGGATGCGCGACGGGTCATGGGGGTCCTCGGCGCGCGCTCTCACCGCATTCGCGTCTCGGTGGAACGAGCGCGTGGGTCTCCTCGCGTCACGGCGCTGCCCCCCGCTGGATGATAATTCTGATGACGACGATGGCGACGGTCGCTACTATAACGAAGTCAGTGCGGGGGGCCGGGAGGTCTCATTCGGGGAAAACCACGCCAGCGGTTCGCGCAGCCTCGCAAGGCAAGCCGCTCTCTTCTCGTCCGATGACCACGAGAGAGAGAGAGGGGGGGTGGGATGCGGTTGTTGGGGTAGAGGGAGGAGGGTAGGAGGGGGGTAGGAGGGGGCCGCGAGCAGTGATGGAGAGAGCAGCAGGGGGAGTGAGGTAGAGGAGGGTGGTGGAGGTGGGGGGGGAGGGAGATGGGTGTAGAGGGGAACGCGGAGCCTCAGACCACGGGACGTTGACGCTCGCGGCGGCCGGAGCCGCGGTGGGTCCGTCTCGCTCTTCCCGACGCAGAGACGCAGCCGCGCTCCAGCTCGCTCCGTCTGCCCTCCGCACCCGCAGCCCGCTCGCGAATTGGCATCGTCCGGAGCTATTTAAAGGGATTTCGCGTTTTTTAAGCGAGCGATCAGCTGTCCTCTCGGCATAACACGCGAGCCGCCAGCCTCACAGTGGGCTGCGTGTGTGCCTGCGAGCGTGCGTGCGTTCCGCGCGCGCGTGTACGTCTCTGATATATACAACATACAGTACACGTGTGTATATATACACATACAGTACACGTGTGTATATCAGGCTGTGTCTGAAGAAGGCCCGGAGGCCCCA